GCTAATATCATTTAGTCGCCCAGAGTAAAGATTTAGTCGCATATGCGAGTGATTTACTCGCAATGTAGAGGGTTGATGCCACATTGTTGACATTGAATGCATTAGTTTCCTCATTGAGTTTTTTTGATAGAATCTTGTGATTTGGGGGCAGTCGTGGCCTAATGAATAGAGAGTCGGACTTGTAACCCGAAGGTCGCGGGTTTGAGTCTCAGGTCCGGCAGTGATTGTAGGTGGGGGAAGTGAATATTCAGCGCTCTCTCCACCTTCAATACCAATGTGCACTTGGATGGGTTAAATGCAGAGCACAAATTCCAACTATGGGACACACCATACCTGGCCACACGTCACGTCCTTTCCTTCCTTTCCTTTTGATTGCTGTAGTTGGTCACCTGCCTTTGGTTTCACTTCACCTGCTGGCTGACTAGCAGGGCGGTGTGACTGTCTCGTGGCGTCTCTCTCAGATCCTGCATGAAGGAAAGGGTGAAATTTCCCTATTAATAACCAGATGAACTAGTGAGTCATAGTATAGCCGGGTAAAGCGGAAGTGTCTTGAAATGTGATCATTCAGGTTGTAGGGAGGCTGTGTCAAACCTACTCCAAAAAAAGATGACACCTTTATGCCGTTTAACGGAACTGATGGGTAATGGCTGTCAATTAAGCTGCGGTTGAGTCTGTGGTTTGTATTAAAGGAATGGGTAGTCCAAAAATAAAAATCCTGTAATTATTTGTCATATCAAATTTGTATGATTTTCATTCCTCCCTAGACCACAGAATATGGCTTGTCACACCGCAATTGACTCTGGGTTATCGTCATTATCGTTGTATACACACACACACACACACACACACACGTATGTATGTGTGTATATATATATATATATATATATATATATGTACACAACGTTAATAATATTAATTGATTGTTTATAATATTAATTGATTGTTATTTTAAACGATGATCGATCATGGAAATGTTTGAAAATTGACATAATATACATATGTCATAACATATACATAACATACATACATACATACATACATACACACACAAATACACATACATTTTAAAAAAAATAGATATAAAAATATCATTTTTAATTAAATTTTTATTAAAATTTTATTCTCAATTGATCTTTTCAGTTTAGTTTCCAATAGTTTGTTAGTTCATTTAGTTTTACAGTTTCATTTTATTTGTTTTTTATTAATTTTATTATTTTAGGGCTGTTTAAAAGTAAATAGTATAATGTGCAATTGTTTACCAACATTTTAAAATGTGATTTTTGTTTTAGTCATGAAAATGTAATTTAGTTTGTGTTTTTCCATTTTTATTTCCATTAACAAATATTTTCATGTACTTGGTTTTCCGTTTTTCTTAATGACTGCATTGATTCAAATATGGCGAGGCACGTCAGGTGTGACAGTAATTATGGCATTTGACAAATAACGTCTCTCGTAACTGATTTCGACTTGCAAAATTTGAATGTGTACATATTCAAATTGCATAAATGAGATTTGAGAGCTTTGTAGTTCTGTGCCAGGGTCATAGTTTACATAATTCAGACCCATTAATTTGTTTGAACTCTCACCTATAAATTTTTAAAAGATTTTAAGCGGGTTATTTAAGTTCTTTAGAGGCCTAAATGACTAGGTGGTGTGGGGTAGTGGTAAGAGGTCAGGGCCGATTCCTGCAAATGAGATGTTGCTCCAGGAGATTGTCCCTGTAATAAGTTCACTGTGCTCTTCTTTGGTGAAAATTGCGTGAAAGTTGTGGAAACAAATCGCAATGGACAGTGAGCTCATATTGTTGTGTGGCGATTAATAAAAAAAACAATGCAGATTTAGCTTTTGAATCACATACATCTGAGCATTTCCTTCCATCTGAACAAGCAAGACTTGTCTGGAAAAAGATTTATTGAAGTCTCATATGTCCAGATCGGTTTTGTGGGATTATCCAAGCACATTCCCCATGTCCATGTACCATACAGAGCCAAAATCTCAAGTGCAAGTTTGCTGGTAGTCTGGTCCCACAAATAAGGTGGATTGGTAGATCATTGAGAAACCTTCACGGCTTATGTGGCCTCCATAAAATCCCACTGACCCCATTTTTCTTTGTCGGATTTCAGAAGGTTCTCAGATTCGCGTTGATTCCAACTTGCTGTGGGTTTGTCCTCAGCTCACATGTTTTGATTACAAGCTTTTTGTTTTGTCCTTAGAGTCCAAAAATGAGGTCAGAATTCTTCTCTGATTTGTCCAAAGCCTTGCATGCAGCATTCCTACTTGTGCATTTTGGGTTTAAATGTGCTAAATGCATGTGTACGTGTTGATAACTTCGGTTTAGGTCTTTCACAACGTTCCCCTCGGGAGAGTTCTTGCCTCGTTTGCCGACTCAGCTGTTATCTGGGAGCACCAGAGTTCTGGAATCGGAATGTCACGGAATGCTGGAATCGGCATGAGCGAATTAGTGTTTGGAGAACAGTGCCTGTTTGTGCTTGGATGTCTCTTTTTCTCCTTCACTCATCTAGTTGCTTTCGCTCTCATTCTAAGATAGCGAAAAAGTAGGGGGGTGGGAACGAAAGCGAGTTTTAGATTTCCCCAACACGTTGGAGGCCTCAAAAAACAGTTTGATTTTGCACGCTGATTCTGGCTCAGATTCGTTTCTTGGCCGCTTGTCTTGATATTTTTTTCTTTTTTTGCAAGGGAAAATGAAACTAATCCTAACTCTACACTCTTACCCTGTGGTGATAACATGTCAGTTCCACTAAATGGGGGTCGAGTGTAGAGTGACCGCCTGGGGGCCCTGGCAGCGGGCCAGAACTGTATATGAATATCACCTGAAGTTGGTGCATTTCCTCTCCACCGGCCGGCTTAATCTTCCAGGCCAATGCCATCCAAAGGTCATTTTCACAACAGGCTAATTTTGGCAGCATACAGCGTTGTGAATAGGCTCTATTGTGGTGCCTGTATTTTGGACAGGCTCCAGATTGCCTCCAGGTATTATTTTGCCTGTTATCCAGTAGAATTGCATCTGGAGTCTTTCCTTTTTAAACTGTACCAAAAAGGGGTTTTACCACCCAGTTGGTCTAGATTGCGAGGAAATAAGTGAAAGTTCTGGGAAAACCTGAATTTGTCAGGTAATTTTGATTTTATATTTTTTTATTTCTTAATTATTTTATTTTTTTAATTAGTAGTGTTTTATAATGTGTTATTTTATCAATATTTATTTATTATTTATTATAAAGTTAATTGAAATTAATACAAAGTAATGGAAATTCTAATAAACATTTCTGTATTGAGCATTCTTTAGTATTTCTTTAGTTAGAAATGGCCTTTTTATGTCTGTAAAATGATATTTCATTGAAAAATGCAAGGAATTCATTGGTCAGAATGTGTAGGAATTCTTTGAATAATATTACTAAAATTACTTCTATTCACTGAAGTCATCTGCACCAGTGTTTGAGTTTCTGTTGATATAATTTCTAGTGGCTAGAAGCTTGGCTTCGTTGTTTAGGGAGAGGTTAAAGTCTTATTCCAACTCCAGACTTGTTTGTTGACACCCAGGCTGCACGTACCAACCTTTAGTTGATTTTCCACAATGCATCATTGTTTATGGCTCACCTGGATCGCTCTCGAGTAAACATGACACTCTTCATGAGCCCGAGCTGATGTAAGGAGGAAGGTGTGGCCGTTCGTTTATTTTAACCCCATCATCCATGTGCACCACATCACTCACTCACCTATAGTGAGTCTCACCTTTTTATATGTGCAAACGCACACATGTGAGGGGTTGGGGGAATTCCAATCTCTGAAAATGATTTTGTATGTGTGAGCTTTAAAAGTCAGCTATTTTATTTTATTTTATTTTTTTGCAGTTTTTTTTTGTTTATTCCAGTTGCAGAAGCAACCTAGAGAGTGATGCATTCAGGTCTTATAAAATAAAATAAAACACAATAAAATATTAGTTTCATAAGTGTTATTACAATAATAATAATATTATTATTATTATTATTATTATTATTATTATAAAACTGTTGTTAATAATAATAATAATGGTTATTATTATTAATATTAATATTTCATTTTATAATTATTATTATTTTATTTTTTTTAAGTATTATTTTATAATTATATTTTCTGCACTTTCATGAAAAAGTAATGGAAGTACAATTTTAATAGAATTTTTTTAAAGTAACGAACATTTTAAATTTGGTTTAAAGAATGGGAAATTCAATGTTTTTTTCAAGTTTTTCAGAATATTGTTCTAGGCTCAAATAAAGTGTGCGTTCTTAACCTTTAACCTTTGTCCTTTACTCAAAAGGAGGGCTTTTCTTGGATAAGGCTTCAGTTTGACACTTAAAGTCTTGTCCTGCTGGTCATCGTGCCGTCAGCACAGGGATTGGGTCACTAACTCATTTATTCTGGGTGAAGAGGGACAGCTGTCTAAATGAACTCAGGCTCAAATCCCATGATTCCTCTGTGCAATAAGAGCATTCTGTAACTGACACAAACCATCCCTGTGTTCAATTTCACAACGCTTGCTGTTCAGCAGATCTTCTGTACACAGTAAATTTGCCCGAGTAAAATGTACTCAAATTGAAGAAAATTTTACTCTATGCCAGATAACATTTGGTCCCTCTCTGAAAAGAGTAAAAGTTACTCTTTTGATGGAGTTGTTTTTCCAGGGTCTTTTGGAGTGTTGTCAGTGCTGTACGTTGGATCATCCAGCCCTGCAAAATGATTTAATTTGTGTGTGCTTTCTGATTCTTGTGCCTGGTCTTGGGAGATGTCCCAGTCATTGTTTGTTTGGTGGGTCTGTATGGTTTTGTTTAGCTGACGAAAGCCCAGGCAGGTGCTGTTTCTCCTCTCCTCTCCTCTCCTGTTGTGATATTTTCAACTCTCACTTATACTGCCTTCTTCATACTTCAAAACGCTGAAATGTTTTGATTAGTTTTTGTTATATTGTCATGTTTGTAGGGATGGGTATCGTTAAGGTTTTAACGGTATTACTACTCTTACCGATACTGCTTATCGATTCGGTACTTTAACGGTATTCTTATCGGTACTTTTTGTTTT